TATGTCTATCCATCTATCTATCTATCTATCTATCTATCTATCTATCTCTCTGTATCTATCTCCATCTCCCTATCTATCTCTCTGTCCTTATCCGTCGCACGATCGATATCTGCCTGTCTATTTATCTCTCTCTCTCTCTCTGTCTCTCTGTATGTCTGTCCGTCCGTCCGTCCGTCCGTCCGTCCGTCCGTCCGTCCGTCCGTCTGTCTGTCCGTCGGTGTGTCTGACTGTCTGTCTGTCTACCTGTCTGTATATCTATATAACAACATAGACACAGACAATTATAGATAGATAGATAGATAGATAGATGCACAGATTGATAGATACAGGGTTGGAGACTTTGGGGTGCAGAACTGTCGAATTTGGACTGCATGGCCTATCAACTCACGGTTTCTGAAACTCATGCGGGGCAGCTGGTGATAGCCCCTGACCACGCTGCTGAGGCTATGGCTCGATAACCACCGAGCCAATTCTCCCGTAGGCCGTACCACTCTCCGAAATTAACTCGCCTTCTCAAAAGTCTCGGGCTTTGTTGCTCCTTCAATTACGCCCGCAGATCCACAGCATGCGACAGTCTGCCGATAAAACTACCTCTTAGCTACGGGTTTCGAGCAAACCAATCTCAGCAACACTGGCCCCACATCATCAGTAATGAACCAAAAATACTGCCTCGACAGCGTTCAGCTGCAAGGTATATACTTGCGTAGAGCTACGAGCTACCTACACTTCCTGCGGCTTCCCAAAATGATCTGCAGAATCGACAATAACGTAAAACCTCCGGATCGCAGTCCTTGGTACAGAAGATCATACGCGAGTCCCGGCGATTCCATGACCCAAGCATGATCCGTGCATCGCCGATGAAAGCGATGTGAACCTGGGCAATCCAGGACATCATTTCCCACATTTGGGGCCTGGAGAACTTCACAACAGGTTTCTGGTGCAAATTATACGATAGTTCCATCGAATTTCCGAACATGACCTAGCACAGCTACAGTTACACTAGCTTTTTTAGGAAATATAAAAAGGCATTAACCATTCTGACCTGGACAGTCTTCCCCTCCGAGCTCCTCTGCTGGTAGCGGCTTCGGGCTTAAGGGCCTAGCAACTTAGTACTCAGTCGGGTGCTGTTTTTATAAACCCTAACCCTAAAACCCTAAACCCTAATCCCCAAACCCCTAAGTGCTAAACCCCTAATCCCTAAGCCTCCAAGGCCTCGGCTGGGCTTTGGATGTAGAAGTGGGCATAGCCCAGCCTCGATGAGTACAAGCGGAGCCTTCTCAGCCCACCAGGCCAAGCCGTTGAGACCCTAAGCCCTTTCTTGAAAGAGGTCTCTCTGAAGTGCCTCCAAGCTGCCCTATAATCTTATAACTTAGAACCTTAGCTCTGAAGCAGGAAACCTGAACACCCCCCAACACCCTGTGAAAAAAAAAGCCGCTGAAACCTTAAACCGCCGAGCCGCCGTCTGCTCCTCCAGCACCAGGCAGGACCCCGCCGCGCCGGAGGCTTCGATGTTGATGTTGTGCTCACGGCCTCAGGGCTCAGGGCTCGGCTTCAGGCTTCCAAGGACTTCCTCAACCCTATAACACCTTCCTCTTTAGGGCTCCTTGTTATGATTTCTTAACATAAGTCCTTAAGACAGTGGGTTCTTTTTGGGGGTCCATGTTAGGCTTGCGTAGGTTTCCATTTAGGGGTTCTGATGTCTATTGGGTTCGGGATGAGGGGCCCGGGCGATTGGAGGAAGCCACGGGAGTGTTGGGCTCTGGGAGAAGTGTTCCACCCTAAACCCTAAAAGGTGGTTACAAGGGGTGTAGGAGGGGCTGGCTAGATGTCATAATTGTGGAGTTTTAAGAAAGGCTTCTGTGACAAGGGCATACAGTTTTACCAATGATTGCGAATTATATGACTACATATGGACTGCACGGGAACTGGTACTCGTGACTGATCAGGCCGGCATATTATTCAGCCCTTTCCTTGCGAAGCACTTGATTGGGCAGAAGCCAAGGGAGCCCTTCCTGCATCCATCCAAAACATCATAACCCCCAAAGCCTGAAACTTCAAACCTCAGCAATAAGCCCTCAAAATACTGGAAGGCTCTGTAAGGACTTCTTCGAGGATGCTTTTGGAACTCAGATCAGATCACATCTGAGGACCTAGACACAGACGCTAGACTGGGCTTCTTTCCCATGTCCTTAACGAAGATCAGTTTCGATGCATCTTAGTCTGGGGACCCTGTACGGAGCAAGTCATCAGGCGCATGTGAACATGTCACCGGCCCAAGAAGAAATGCAGGAATCGGCCTCAGCCTGTGAGGAAGCTCAAGACGCAAGCCGGAAGAACGGAAGGATCGTGTTATCAAGAGCAGGTTCGGCTGTTGACACAAAGCACGTTCACGTTCTATCCCCCCCCACCACCACCACAACTGCCCCCACTACTAGCACCACCACCATGACAACTACTGCTGCTACCGGTGCTGTTGCTAATTTACTAATCCGATGCCCTGTGCGATGGCCGAGGTGCAAAAGTTCTCCAAGTCTTCCTGGCAGGGTGCAAGTCTTTAGTGTCTGTTTGCCTCATGGGTTTAGGCGGTTTAGGGAACAGGATCCAGGGTTTGGTGTTGCAGGATTGATGGCTCAAGGCATGTGGTTGGGCTTGGGGTTTCGACTCTCACACTCGCACAAGCCAGGCAAGTCAAGGCTTCGCGACATTCCACCGTCCCAGCTTAGTTGTGGGAGTTTCGGGGGGGGGGGGGGGGGGGGGTGTTCGAAAACAATCGGGTTTAGACTTTGACGCCCCCGTGCTCGAAAACCACTGAAAACTGGACCCAGCACCCCGAAAAGCAAACGAAAACCGAATCCAAGGCCTTCAAGGCCTTGTAAGAGTCAGAGCAGGCAACAAGCCTTTGCCGGGTACAATCCTAAGAAACAGCTGGCACAAGATGATGCCGGCGTTGATCCCCGAACACTGATAGCACCTTGACAACTGTGACGATCACGACCACTAGGACGAAAACTATGACCAGGACGACGGCGAGCAAATGACAAGGACCACCAGGACCACGGCCACAATGCTTTCCATTATCTGTACTGGTGGGATTCACTGGCGCGACCACAAAGGCCTTCCCCCATCTAGATTTGGAGGCCAACGAACGACTAATGTATCCGGAATGTACAGGTTCCGAAGGACGGTGTCGACGGATCCTGTGTAAATAAAACGGCTTGAGAGTTAAAGAATGCACCGCACACAGCAGGAGTTGCGCCCCAGGCAACCTCCCGTGGCGTGCGCCCTGCGGCTACATTAATCGTTCTTTAGCACCCCATATAGCCTAGGGAAGATATGCAAACAAAAGCAAGGAGAGTAATTATATATAACAGCAGTGCGATGAATCCTAAACACAGACCACCATATGATGCCACATGGAACCCCATAGTTTTAGGCGGCCTAACCCGTCACACCCTGAGCTCTGCAAATAAAGCCCCCGGAAACCTCAAACTGCACCCCAAAAGACCCTGAACCCTGTAGCCCCAAAGCCCAGGAGCGGCAACTCGCCAGGGTTTAGGATTTGAGGGCTTTAGGGTTGAGGGTTTATAGGGCTTTTAGGGCTTAGGGTTTACGGTTTTAGGGTTCAACCGAAGTAAGCCCAAGCACCCTCTTTTGAACCAGACAGGCCCACCATCAGGGACCATTCGGCTCCAGGGCTATATATAGGGGTTCCCACGCCCCCTTAAGTTCTCCCCCGCCTGTGCTTTGGCAAACGCCTCCTGGAGCGCAAGTTCCCAGTTCTTGGCGAAGTGACTGCTCTTCGTCAAGAAATACCTGGGCTGTGTGACTTTGGAGTCCGACCTAAAGCCGTTTGAAAGGGTACTACATGGGTTTAGGGGTTAGGGTTTAAAGGGTTATAGAGGTTAAGGGTTGAGAGTGCCTCTTTCAAGGGGACTATGAGGGTTTAGGGTTTAGGCTTTGGCCAAAGTGGATGGGAACTCAAAGCCCCCATGGTATCATAACTACCCGTAGGCCCCATAGTAATTCCTTTTTTGTGGCTTATATTTAGGCTCCTATTAAGGAAGCCCAAAAAGGAACTACTGTGGGGCCTATGGGTAATTACTAGTAAGTACTGCGGCGACTGATGTTGCTTCCAGTAGCTCTTTGCGACGAGGGAACGTTGTTGTCACATGACTAGTGCTGCAGTGTAGGACTCGTTCCTCTTGAGGCATCTAGAGCAAATCACAGTCTCACCTACGACGAAGCTTTTGAGGAACCAACCCAAGCCATCATACAAGGAGAGTTCTTTTTGACTACAACATCTCCGATTGCGGTGCCTGTAACTTAGCGTACCTCGCTCTTGTCATAGTACCCCAGTACGTCCCTGAGGCATTCTGGCAGATTGGAACCTCGGGACTAAACTAGAGATGACAACTCTAAAGTTCGAGTGCCCCAAAGGAAGGCTGGGCAGGAATGAAGCTTCAAAGCACCAAGGCTTTCCGGGGCGTGTCGACAGAAGAAGCGACAACAACTTCATGTTTCTTCGGGTTCCCAAACACGACGAACCCCTGGCACTGTCCGTAACGGTCGACATGTATTTCTCACCGGTCGCATACAATGTCAGGCTTAACACTTTACTGCTCTGGTGGGTTTGGGATTTGAGCCCAGCACTGGAAACCCAACCACGTAATCCTCAGCCACCATAGCGGAAATTTCTGTTAAACTGTTCAGCTAGTGTAGTTGAATGCAACCCTAAACCCTACAACCACGTTCAACGATCGAGCACTTTGGTTACAGAGGGGTCTGGGGACATAGAGTGCGGCGAGATGCGGAATGGTCTGCACAAGTCGGAAAGACACGAGGTGACCGAAGGGGCCGTGGCCGTCGCACACACCGTACATTGTTATTGCCCCCACATGGTGCACGAAGAAGTTGTCCTGCACATGGGATTTAGTGTCTACGGTGCCCTGCATCACCTGCTGTGTAGGTCATGTACTCATTTACTACAAAAGACTTCAATTGCCGAGACATCCTTTGCAATCGGTTCAATTGACCACGGAAAGAATCCCTCTGAGTCTGCCTTTAGACACTTGTTGGAGCTCAGCACTCGAAACTTAATGAGAGCTGAATCGTTGAGCATAACTTTGCAGAAAACTAAGAAGCTGAAAACCAGAGAGCGCGGAAGTTGCGTCCTGGTTGGGGGTTGGATCGGAAGCAGACTTTTGGCCTCAGATGGGTGGATGCATTTAGGGTTTAGGGTTTAGGGCCTGCCAAACGCACAGCCGTTAAAGACAGTTTCCTGCCATGTGGCCCTTCTGACAAAGCACGGCAATCTCCGTGGCCTGCAACGTTCCGTGCGCATCAGGTGCAAAGTGCGCTGACCCTCAACCCTGTACAACACATCGATACTTCCCTGGCAGAGGCAAGCGTGTGCTTGAGGGCAGACTTGCTTGAGAATTGCACAACCTCTCTCAAAGAACGTCATACGCTATATCTATTTGGAATTCCAGTGGACATGGCAGAGGACAAAAGAATCGTGTTTGTCTGTCTCTGTACTCCCCCAACAGACTCGAGTCAATCATGCTACATAGACTCAGCTTAACGTGAACAATCGCGTCAGGGCTAAACAGTAACATCTACCCAAGTAGTCCGCTTGCGCACTCAACCCTAAGCCGGACCTCTCTTTGCCCACAGTCCGAAGCCCGAAATCTCGCGAGAAATCTTCGGCCCGCAACCCCACACCCTGCGCCTGCTTCAGCTTCGTGGCAGCCTGCCACGTGTAAAAGTCCTCATCTCCTGCATCCCCCATGGACCCGACTTTGTGAGTTTCATATGGGTTTGGGCGGTTTACGAGGAGTTTCCAAAAGAGACATCAAGTCGACGGCCCCTGGGACCCATGATAAGAATCCTCAGATCCTGATTTAATGATCGTTCCCGGTGGCAATTTAGATGCTACAGATAAGATACGTTACGTACCCGACATATAGCTACAAAGGCATACTTCTGCCAACATTCACACATATACAAAATACACATACTACATACATGGATACCTCGATGCATGTTTACATGCATGCATACATATATGCCTTCCTGCCTGCATACCTGCCTACCCGCCTACGTGCACACATACGTGCGGACGCAAGTGCACATGGCAAGAGTGACATACAGAGAGAGAGAGAGAGAGAGAAAGAAAGGGATAGAGAGTGTGTACGTATGTGCGTGTACGCAAGCCTGAACTGTCTCTGTCCTCGCTGACCTTTCTCGAACTTTGTCCGGCAGTGAATGTGCTTGTCCATCGTGAACTTCTGACCCGGCACTACGCCGCCGAACATCATCACGGAAGCCTGGGTGTGACTTGATGCTCACTGCAGTAGGCGCGACACACTCACACTTAGCTTAGTAGTAGTAGTAGTAGTAGTAGTAGTAGGAGTAGCAGTAGTAGTAGTAGTAGTAGTAGTAGTAGCAGCAGTAGCAGTAGCAGTAGCAGTAGCAGTAGTGGTAGCAGTAGTAGTAGCAGTAGTAGTAGTAGTAGTAGTAGTAGTAGGCGCCCCCCCCTACCAACTACACTTGCTTAAAACCATCTTAAGAACACATCCGTTTTACTCGGTATTTACAGCACTTTCGTCATGTACGATCATCATAAGAAGCCTCAAAATCCACTTGCCGAGTTTGCTAACTCGGCCTCTTGATTTTGGACTTGCTGTGGGGGGGGGCGGGG